AATCTTTTCTTTTAAGGGTTTACTTATTTATACATACAGAACTGGGGTACAGGCCAAAAGTGCAGGGGTGTTGAGAGGATTCACCAGAAAGAGTGGGGAGCAGAACAGGCAAACTGACATACTAAAAACTACTGAATAAGTACACCCTTGATAAATTTTATGGTATGTATATTATATACATATAGACCTAAATCCCTGAAATGACATCCCTGTAACCATAAAACAAAACGCTTATTAGCTTTTCTCCAAGACCATCTTATCATCATATACTGAAGGCACAGATATTTTAAAACAAGATACAAAAAAGCACTAAAAAGATAATTTTTAAGTACATTTAAAACAGAAAATAGCATTTTAAAAGCTGAAAAATTAGAACTCACTGAACTTAAAAACTATTTTTTTAAAAGATTTATTTATTTAGGTCCTCCCTGGTGGCGCAGCGGGTTAAAGCACAGCACTGAGAAGCTAAAGCCACTTCCGCATGAGTTCGATTCCCGCCTGCCCCGGAGGTGACCACATGGCACCGCAGACCTCTCCTGACCAGCCCGCTGCTCCCCTCAGCAGTGTACTTCGTTGATCTGCCTGTTCTGCTTCCCGCTCTGTCTCTGGTGAATCCTCTCACCCTCTGCATCTCTGGCCTGTACCCCAGTTCTATATGAATAAATAAATAAATCTTTTTTTTTTAAAGATTTATTTATTGTGCATACAGAACTGGGGTACAGGCCAGAGGCTCAGGGGCGGTGAGAGGCTTCACCAGAGACAGAGTGGGGAGCAGAACAGGCAGATCGAAGAAGTACACTGCTGAGGGGAGCCGCGGGCGGGTCAGGCGAGGTCTGCCACACCATGTGGTCACCATCCAGGGGCGGGAATCGAACTCACACAGAAGTTGCTTAAGCTTCTCAGTGCTGTGCTTTAACCCGCTGCGCCTCAAGGGAGGACCTTAAAAACTATTTTTAAGAAGCTCCCACTAGCAAAGGTAAAAAGTATAACTAAAGACAAACAGGGAGAAGGTACATGAAATACATTTATCTTACAAAGGATTTGAATTCAAAATATACGAAATATTTGAAGAGTAGTGAAAGAAAAACTATTCAAGATAATAGGCAAAAAGTGGAATGAACATTTCACTGAAAACAATATTTCAAACAGTCATGGTGTAACAGGATGGTTCCCCAGGAAAATGGGGGGGCAGGGCAGGAAACCTGGAACCTTCCATTTTCCTGAGGATCACCCTGTTACAATGGCTTCTCAGTGTACTCAACATCTTTTCTCAAGAGGGAAACAAAAAGGAAAGTCACAATGAGGGATCATCCACCAAAATGGTTAAAATTTAAAAGTCTAAAAATAAAGATACACAACATCACTACTAGTTAAACTGTAGGACAATACAACCAAATTTAAAAAAAATATGGAAGCTGCTAAAGCTAAATATGCCCTATCATTTAACAACTCCAGCCAAGAGAAATAAGCATGCATACAATCAAAGATGCATAGAGCACCTTGATTAATTTACAGTCAAAGACAGACACAACCCAAATGCCATCAGTATAAGAATGGATAAACTCTGGTTTATTTATTCAAATACTACACAGCACTTTCAAAAGATGACTGGTACATATGGTAATACAGACAAACTTCACTGACCTTTTATTGAAGGAAAATAGTGAGACACCAGAGGTCATACAAATCATCCAGGATGACAGAAATCACACAAGGAGTGGGGAAGGGCACAGAGTAAAGGAAAGTAAAAAAACTAAAAAGGGACATTTTAATAAATCTTGTTTTAAAATTATGTACACACACAGGCACATATATAAATAAAAATCTTCAAACGGCTTAAGATTTAGTGTATTTTTTTTAAAGATTTTATTTATTTATTTATTCATACAGAACTGGGGTACAGGCCAGAGATGCGGAGGGTAAGAGGATTCACCAGAGACACAATGGGGAGCAGAACAGGCAGATCGATGAAGTACACTGCTGAGGGGAGCAGTGGGCGGGTCAGGAGAGGTCTGCCTCACCATGTGGATCTCCTCCAGGGCAGGCAGGGATTGAACTCATGCGGAACAGACTTAAGCTTCTTTGTGCTGTGCTTTAACCCACTGCGCCACCAGGGAGGGCATATACACTGTTATACTTTGAAAAACTGCTCCCCCAAAATAAGACGTGTTGCCTCAAACATCACCTCCTGTCTCTATAGTAGTTTATACACACAACTACTACTTTTAAAAGTGATCCCTATTTGAAGTTTCTAGAGGGCTTTTAAAGGAAACACTTCACTACTAAAGCACTTAAAGCATTTCATTACTTAAAACTTTTCACATCGGCATAAACCAAAAGAATGCCAGTTCCTTTGAAGGGTAGAGGTCTCCCTTTCTTATTCATCTTGCTTCCAAAGTGTACAGCAAAGCAACATGTACCATGAGATCAATAATAGTCTACCTTACAAGATTCCTATGACTGAGAGCTAGATGACTCCTATGACTGAGTCAACAACTTCTCACTAAGTGTTCTCCTTTAATTTTTATCTTTTCATGACAATTTACATCCCACTTACCAATGGGGACATCATGATAAAGCAGCAGAATTACTGACAAAGAAAAATATATAGAAATCACACAAGAAAACAAATGACTTTTTACTTTAATTGCTTCTTACAAACTCTATGATGTAACTAGTATTATCAGCTCCATGTTAGATAAGAAGCTAAAAAGACTGTCCCCGGTTACAAGTCTGGTGTAGGCTACAGGAAAGACTAAAGGGTTAAAGGTATAGAATCCAAGTGCCCTCAGAAGGATTAATAATGTTGGGGACTATTTAATAAAGTGAAAACTTAATTTCTGACCTTTGTTCAGCTGAACAACAAATTTTGGGAAATACAAAATAGGTAAGGGAGTTATCATGGGAACCTAGTCCACATGACCAAACAGGGACTACAGAGAATTCCCAAGAATGCAAAAACAGCGCAAACTGAACCAGACCAGATAACTCTGGTGTGAAAAGCCCATTAAAACTTTGTGTCCCGGGCCCTCCCTTGTGGCGCAGCGGGTTAAAGCACTGCACTAAGAAGCTTAAGCCACTTCCGCATAAGTTCGATCCCCCCCCCTGCCCCGAGGAGATCCACATGGCATGGCAGACCTCTCCTGACCCGCCCGCTGCTCCCCTCAGCAGTGTACTTTGATCATCTGCCTGTTCTGCTCTCCACTCTGTCTCTGGTGAATCCTCTCACCCTCCGCATCTCTGGCCTGTACCCCAGTTCTGTATGAATAAATAAACCTTTAAAAAAAAAAAAAACTTTGTGTCCCAGCAGAGACTACCCTCAGTAATGAAAAAACTTGTGAAAACAAGTCATACAAATCCTCCTTCCAAGACAGATTTCTACTATCTTGCCTCTGATCTCTTGCAAGGTTATTTCAATATCTACCTTTTCTGATCTCTGCTCTGGCTCTGGTGAATTGTTTCACCCCCATGCCTCTGGCCTCATCTCAATATTACAACACAATAAATGAGGATATTTATTTAGTAAAAAATAAACAAAAAAATACAAATGATTAAACATGAGAAAATGTCCTCCTCACTCATAATGAGAGAAAGCAATTTAAAAACTACATTAGAGTGCAATTTCTCACCTATTGGACTGACCAAAAAAAAAAAGCAAAATTTTGACAACATCCTATTAGCATGGCCATGGGAAAAAAGCAGATACTGTAATCCTGCTGAAGGCACAAATCTTAGGTAAGGACAATTTTGTAATTTTATCAAAATTATCTAACAATACTGTTATACCCACCCATTTCATTTTGGGGGATTTTTCCTGCATAAATTCTTCAAATGTCACATTATATATGTTCAAATATTCATTCCCCACTGCAGCACCATTTATAATAGCAGAAAGTCTAGAAACAATCCCAAGAGTCTATATACAATTTTTTAAATAAGCGGCTATAGGTGCACAAGAGAATACTATGAACTGGTTTGGGTTTTTTCCCACAAGGAGAAAATACTCTCTGACTGGTGATAGAGAGATCTCTAACATAAAGTATGTTTTAAAAACACACCTATTGGACATAAAAGCACTATGTAAGATGTTAATAATATGGGTTATATGTGATCTTGTATAATCTCTGTAGTATTTCTAAAGTCTGAAACTGTTCTAAAAGAAAGTTTATTTGTAAAAAGAAGGTGCACAATATAAAGTTTACTAGATATTATATAATAAAAGGTAGACTACAAGTTTATCTGCTTGTAGTTCCATAAAGAACAACTAGAAAACTGCCCTGGAAACTAATGATTGGGAGGAAGGGGACAGGAAAAAAGAAAAGGAGTAAGTTTCTCTATGTCAGTTATTACTTTTTAAGTGCTTTAACATATTAACCATCTTTGAAAAAATAAGTGATTTTTGAAAAGTAAGTTCATAAGAATTATCTCATTCTCTAATAAAACCTGAGAACTTCCTGGCAGTCTTTACATACCATTGGGAAATGTTAGAGTTAAACAACTAGTAAACTTTAAAAAAAAAAAAAACTTCTTTAAACACCATTTTTTTTAACTGTTTTCATAAGTACAAACCAAAATATTAATGAAAATAAGTGAAAGTTTTTATAGAGACTCACTCTTCACAGATTTCCTAGAATACACCTATTTGACACAGTGATTTACAACTAAACTCAGTAAAATGATATTAAAATGAATAAAAGAAATCAAATTTCTTAATGTACCACAATTTCATTTTTTCGGGCAATCCTCAGTGTTGCTCACTACAAAATAGGATGAAACTTCTAACAGCGAAACATGTCAAAACACAAAGTATTAACAACTGTCTACCAATTTAAAAGCCATGCATTCAAATCAGTCTGCCTACTGTTTCTGTTTTCCACTCACCTCCCCTACAAATTGGATTAAATTATCTTTGCATTTTTTGGAAAGGGCCAAAAGTACACATTAAGAAACCTATCAAGTGAAGTTAAAGATAAAATTAAAAAGCAAACTCATACAATTACCTTAAAAGGTTTGTCTCCACTGTGTGTCAGCATGTGCCTCTGTAACCAACTCTGACTGGTTGATGGAGTGTTATATACTTTACAACCTTTCCATAAGCAAACAAATACCTGTTTAAAAAAAAAAAAAGACATAATAATTTATCACTGAGTGACAATTTTCTTCCTTCTAAGATCAAATGAAAAGGTTACAAGTCTTTGACAAAAAGCCATTTCATGTATGAGCCAGTCAAAACATGCAAAGTAGTTACACTCTGAGCTTGCAGTTTGTACAGTATGCATATGTGACAGTGTTACCGCTCCCTCAAGGCTGCTCTCCATGTGCTCAATTAGAAACTGGTTAACACCAATCACAAACTGTCATTCAGAGAGAAATAAAGTATTAAAAATAAAGAAACTAGATTTAAACCAGTCATTAATCACATTATGTATCATGACTACATGAGGAAACAAGCATGTATTAATTATAAATACCTGGAAAATATACAGGCATAAAGAAATAATAAAATAGGCAAATGTGAGTAAACGACAATTTCATCTACAAAGAATGTATCATACTAATATTTACTCTTACATTGCTACTTTCCTCATTAAAAATAACTTCCAATTATCCTGACTATGAAGCAAAACAGAATACAAACTATTAAATTAATATAGATGTAAAGACATGAGCCACACTATCATCACAGTAGAGCCACATTCTTGATTCAGGCCACTTGGTATGACTGGGCTGGGAAAGCACCAACCTCAGCATGAACAGTCTAATCATTATCATGTTCCTACTGTTAGATATCAATTTCCTAGCCAACCAATGTATTTCCTAACTGACAATTTCCTAATTGTGTGTCTGTGTGTGTGCACGCTTAAGTATAAAATAAAGTCAAACTGAATTCTGCAAAGTGCTCCCCCAATGTTACTACAAAAATGTGGGCCTGCTGCATCAGTATCTTCAGAAAATCATTTTATAGGCTCTGTTCTTTTCTAAAATAAAAGGAATTATAAACATAGCCTCACTTATAAGACTACACAAAACAAAAATACAAAGAAATGAGAAATCCTTTAAAATCAGTTTAAGATCATTTTTTAAAGATTAGAATTAAGTCTAAAATTTAGATAATTAAAATAAATTATTAAATAACTTGAGATCAATTTTTACTGGAAATCAAAACTATTTTATAGCTAGGTTTAACAAGACACTACTGCTTTAGTGAAAGTAACATCTTTCCTGATTCCACAAACTTTTGCCAGTTTTAATGAAGCAGATCTAGAAAGCATAACATTTCCTCCCTCACACTTAAAACTCCTAACCCTATGAAATGATTCAGTTTCTAGTACTAAAAGCTACTTTTTAAAGAATAAATAAAATAATCACCAGCGTAGTCAGTGCTATTTATATATTTGCTATCAAAGGACTATTAGACTAAGAAATGTTAGAATTTCAATCCAAGCAATAAGCACAAATCAGGAGTCGGTTTAAATTTTCCTCATGTCATACACATAAAGTGAAGTATTTAGACCAAGTATTTGGAACAAAATAAAGCAATATGTGAGGTTATAAAGATAAGGACTTCTGTTGATGTGACTGTTAAGGGACCTTTCTCACAATCAGGTATTCACTACCCCTTACCTAAATTATCCAACATTTGACATAAACCATCTGACTTTTATTTTTTTTTCTCTATGAATAAACATGGATACAAAGGCAAAGACAGACCCTCAACTTTGCTCTTACTTGTTGCCTAGTATGGTCTAGCTTAGTATGGTCTAGCTAGTAACACTATTAGATAATACCCTTTGGGGCAAAGGGTAACATTCAACCTAGTGAATTTTGCAGGAGATGAAGTAAAATGAGACCAAAGCTAACTATGTTTAAGTGCACTTGGATGAAACATTTGAAAAGTAATTATGGAATGAATGGAGAGGAAAGCATTAAATTTGCACAAAGGTAGTCTTGACACAAAATGGACACTAAAAATCCATGTTATCAATCACCCACAGAAACCATAAAACTTTAAAAACTAACTGCCTTTCCTAATCATACTAGGAAGACCCTTTAAATAAGAGGTAATATAAAATCTGACAGGGGTCTTTCTAAAAATTACCCCAGAAAACCAAATGCCATAAGAATTCAAACCAAGTTTGGAAGTTATTCAAATCTTTGTGGTTATTTTTTTTTATGAATTAAGATTTAGCTATATTAAAAAAGAGTAGTGAGACACAGAGTCAAAGCCCAATGCCCCTTGACGAGACTTATGTCATACTGTATTCAGATGTAACAGAAATAGAACTAAAGTAGTTGGACTAAATTCTATACATTTCTTTCACTCTGCAGCTATGAAGATCTGCAGGGATCATGTATCTCTCTTCTTTCTTTTTCCATCTAAATAGATAAAATGACCATATTATTTCCTAACAACAAAAATTTAAGGATTATTCTCTCAGAACTAGTTAACGGAAAAATTAGAGAGGCTCCCAACAATGGAGAACACATGGCAATCTGGGGAGTGTGACACACATGAGGACAGAGAAGCTCCATACATTCGTTCCTATTCCTTGTCCTAGACATGTCTTTCATCTGCCGGATGCTGTATAACATAACATTCTATTATGACAAACAAAAAATCTAGATGTCCCAGCAAATACCATGATTGAAGAACTACTGACAGCAAGGTGCCTCTCCAGAAATGCTGTGTGAGTATATGAAAAGAACGTCAAGATACATTTCTTGGAAATTTCTATTTAAAGATATGTGATTTAGCAGGAAGGAGTTAACAGAAACTAGGAGTACATGAAGAGTTCGGGGAGGATTTCCATTTGCCAGAACCTGAAAAAATGGCATTTCTTGCCTGTATGCCTCATTTACCTGGTTTGGCACATGTAAATCAGCTGATCAACTCAGAGACATTTTGTCTATGATGAGGAGAATGTGCATGAAGATTACAGTGAAGGGAGTTCTTCAATGTTGTCCCTCTGCAGTTTGGCCCAAGGTTTACCCATTATAAGTGTCAACCATGCCATCAATGAGCAAAGAGAAGTTGATGAAAAACCAATGTATATACAAAGAGCCTGAAGGATGACACCAAGAATTGTATCAATAGGAAAGCCAAAAAGCCAACTAATCTTTTAAACAGCCTTTGGTCAAGGTGATTCCTGGCTAAAGAAATTCTATGGGTTTCGTATAACCAATAGGACTCAGGGTGAAGAAGCACTAGATAAATTCACGTGAAAATTCTCTTTCACATATATTCATAAAAACATGTTAAAATAAAAAAAAATGTTATAGGGGAGAGGGAGAAGCAACTGAGTTTATATTAGACACTGGAAGTCCTTTGGACTGCCATCAGATTTCGTTTCCAGAGTACCCAAAAAAATAGAACAAAACCCCTCACAACCATTAAAATAGTATTTCTGAACCACCAGAGATAATGTAGAGGTCTGAAATTTCAGTGTTACTGAGAGGATGAACTTTGTTGAGAATTCCTCTATGAAACTGCATAAGGTTGTCAGAATAGATTGGCTTAACCTTCAGGGACTCTTACAAAATACCCAATCTGAGGAAGGCTGGTAGAAACCTGGGGACCAAGAGTAGTCTTGATCTCCTTCACTTTGGTCAATTTCCTTTTACAATGACACAGTATAGACAAAGATACACTTACATGGTCACTAACACGTCACACTGTAAGTGTGTAAATGAATCCACCAAAATTTTCTTTACATAAATTTAATATCCACTGCAAAAGAATACAGTGCAACCTAACAGTCTAAGTATCCATAAAGGAAATTCCAGTTATTAGTGAATTAAAGTCAGCCAAATTCTTAACACAGAGCTGATAAGCAATTTAATTTCTTTTGCTAAGGAATTAGATTTCTTCTACAGTAAAATTATACAAAAAAAATTTGTATAAAGCAATAGAAATACCATCTAAAGTCACGAAGAGTGAGTGATTATAGTTCCTATAGATTAGTATTTCTCAGGGAAAAACCTAGCTCATTTATTTCCCAAGTGGGAAAGTAGAGAAAAGAAGCAGGACATTTTTATATCTCATTATTTCATGTCAAACCTATTTGCCCTCTCAATATCAGCCTAAAAATGACAGCTATAATTTTGTGTCCTAATATTTTTAACCACCATTAAATGAAATAATATTGGCAAAGTCCTCTATTAAAAGATATTTAATAAAACTCCAATAATAAGGTATTTACTGGCAAAGTTATGACCAATTTTGTGTTGTCACATTCAGGAAACAACGGTGTAACTATCAAAACTTAAAATGACCCTCCCACATCAACTACTTCCTCACACATACCAAATAACATATATACACATAAACTTAACAAAATGATATGTAAAGTAACTCCAGCATTAAGAATCATGGACAAATTTCTTTCTAGGAACTATTTTTAAAGTGAAAAATAATTGCAACAGGAGGGGGAAAAAACCAACAATAGATGTACCAAACCATTGAGTCCTACAAGATGATGTTCCTAACTACCAAGAATTAGGAGGATGTTAAGAGGACACTGGAATTTGAAAATAGAATGATAATCAGTTTAGTGTGTAAAATCCAGCCATATCTGAATCAACTCAAAAATACAATTCTAGTAGTTTACAAAAAAGAATAAACCTGTTTGCTCTTAGCCTTTAAACAGAAGAGAGCACTCACAATTTTTTTAAAAGCTACCTAAATGGTCAGTTATCATTTAATGTAACTTCGATATATGAAAAAAGAACAGGAAAAATCTGAACTCCATCCTGATTTCAGCCTCCGAATATAATTTAAAAACCTCATAACATAAATGGGGGAGGGTGTTTTAAGGAGTTTTATGACAGTGAATTTTTCCACTAGCATGGGATTAGAAAAAGAACAGAAAGTTACATCTTGCTAAAGTACTGAATCTCTGATAAACTGTCATCTTTCAATAACTACAAGCAAAAAGTCGTCAAAACTACCAATTTTTTGCTCACTTTTCTGTTCCAGTGATAGTCTAAGGCTTTAGTTAAGAAAAAGTTTAAAAAACTGAAGTTATAAAAATTAAGTGGTTCTCATTTACATGACGTATCTACAGTTTACTCAGTTTGCAGTTTACTGGACAGAATGTAGACTGGAGGTTAGCAAAGACTGGCAGAAGGGAGGTACAGTGAGAGTTACTGTTTAATGAGTACAGAATTCAGTTTGAATTGATGAAAAGCTTCTGGAGATTGAAGTGGTGATGGGGGTCAATACTATGAATGTCTTAATCTTAATGACCCTAACCTGAACACTGAGAAATGATTTATTGAATGATCTAAGAAGTTCCCTTCAAAGAGGACACTTAAAGAAAGAAAAAAAAATACTCTACCCAACATTTATACTACTTTCAAGCACAAAACCACTCTTATTTCCTGTCTTACACAGTATACTCTATCTTACAGTAGTATCACGTTTTCAAATCCTCATCATACTTTATCATTCAAACAGCTTAGTCTCATACTTTATCACCCATTAGTTCTCATCATATTTTTATCATCAGAAAGTTTTGTCACCAATGACTGGAATATAAAAATAAAAGATATGTTTTATGTATTTCTTTGATCCTTTACACTGTAATTTAACAATTAGTGTCCTTCAAAGATTAGGGCTCATTTTTGGAGTCAAAATATCTTTTCTTAAAATTACCCAGAAAATCTTATTACTTGTCATAAGATAAAAGTAATAACTTGGGGGAGTTCATTTCAACAAGTTTATTCTTATTACAGAACTACCAACACTGTATGTGAGCTCTCTAATATAAGATAGATGTAAATGCTGTAATGATATATTCAATCTGTAACTGCATTTTTCTCATAAATATGAAAACAGTTTCATATAAGGCTATGTGCCAACTCCACTTGCAGGATTCAAGACTTATAATTTCTCCCACACCTTCTAAAAGTTCAGTGATCTACATAGCCTCTGATACTATATAGAATTAAGTGATTAAAAAAAAAAGCCATCATACACCATGGTTCAAAAGAAAACCTCAGTAACATATACCAGAACACATCAACTACTGGACTCACAAAAGATAACTCTTATCATGGGTTATGCAGTGAAAATACCATGTGATAGGCACAGTTCATCCAAAATGCTACCTGATTATCTATCAAAAGCCAACATATATTAAATATAAAAATAAAACATGTGTTTTTATCAGGTTTGAATAATCCAAAGATTGCTGATACATTAAAACATTGTGACAACAAATATTTCTTAAAGAAATATTTTAAATGGTTAAAATGTTAGGGGTACTTAGATGGTGGCCTTTTCTTTTAAGTCACTAATATAAATACCAATGCACACTGAAGACCATTACCTACTGGCTTAAATCATGACTTTAGCCATTCTAAATTAAACTCTTACTAGTTATGCCATGCAATAAGAAATGTGTGGACCAATCAAAATTATTTGTACTTACAATATAACATTAATTTCTGAAAAATATACTGAGTCTGGCAACTACTCAAGACAAGCTTATGGTTTAAAGAAATTACAAATATCTATAAATAATATCTTAGTCCATTACACCACAATTTGCCTAATTTGCTCAGCTCTTTGATTCACTACCAACAAATTTTATGAAATAGCAATTTTAAATATATTCTTGAACGTGTACAGGTTAAAACTAATCAAATTTTCTATCTAAACCAAAACCTGAGAAAGACAATCAATTCTCATAAATAAAAGAATTATATATAATAGTCTTGCTATCAACAGGCTCTCCAATTAATATCAACATCAGAGATAATTAGGAGCACTTTAACAAGAAAAATCTTAAATAGTGCCAATTCCTAAATGTCAACTTAAAAAACAGTAGAACCTAAGAATACATATATATCTGTAATGACCCCACTTATACTTTAGAAAGTCTAGCTAATTAAAAGTAGCATACCTAGTAACAAATTAAAATGTAGCAAATGTGATCTAGCTATGATTTGACTCCATTACCTATGCTGGAAATAAATTAAAGGGAAAAACTGAAAATCTAAAGTCGGTATAAAAATAATCCCAAATTTCTTTCAGAATAAGAACCTAACTAGCAATTATAAATTAATGAAACTAATGAAAGAGGGAATGAAAAAAAGAAATGATAAAACCAACCCCTCCTCGCTGACCATCTACATGTATGGAACGGATGTGATCTGCCAGATCTGGACTAGAGTTGAAGCAAGCCTGGCACTGGTCCCAACAACAATTATAGGCAATATTTTTGCTTGAAGAAGTAGTGCTTCCTTGTCCATTCATCATTGCTGGAGTTGAACGCCCACTGGAAATTGTGCTGTCTACATCCATTATAGTACTGCTTATGCTACAAAAGAAGAAAAAAGGCTGTGTTATTCCTAGAATTCACTAAATGAATATAATCTTATAAATATTTAATTAAGATTACCACTTGACATTCTGCTCCAAACAAAACATACTACCCATGTTCTCCCTTAAAAATAAAGCTTTGAAATTATTTAGTTGGCAATGAAGTACAAATCAAGGCCAAAAACAGCAGTACCTCAAAACTAGGTATGAGATCATTTAAGCAACTTTTGGCAAACGTGATTCCCCAATTTGATATTTATATACTAAGCCCTACTGAAATGCGCGCGCGCGCGCGCACACACACACACACACACACACACACACACACACACACACAAGTTCATGACATTTGATCCCTTCCATAGTTCCAAAAATCAAGACAAAGTAAAATAATCCTATCCCACTATAAATAATTCAGTATCAAGAGATTACCTTTACAGTTCTGCAAATCATTTTTTGACCTTAAGTCTCTTCTTCTATTCACTAACCTGAGATACAACTGCTGCCCCAGTCTACCTCTCTCTCTCTTTAAAGAAGCTGGGAAATTTTGCTCTATTTCCCTTTCTAAATAAAAGAAACAAACATGGAGAAAGCAGTAAATGTTCCCTAATTTTACCAAAATCCAAATGTTTTTAGCAGGCCCTCAACTTTTCTGACTAATCTCTACCTACCAAAAGACTGAAAATACCACTCTACTGCTTTTTATTTACTAACGGTATTACATATTAGTAACTTTTATTTACTAAAAGCTATTATAACACAAGTAACAAAATCATTAAATTTTACATCGTAACAAGCAATTTACCCTCACTTAAAAAGCAATTCATTTTAAGTTTTTGAGGATCTACGCAGCAGCAAAAAAAAAAAAAAAAAAAAAAAAAAAATCAAAGTAGCTTCAATCCTCACAGAAGGCTTAACAGTGGCAATTTTCAAAATAAACACTGTCAAAATCGGTATCGCTAGCAACCTAAGCACTGGTAAACTATGAAAAGTTTAACTTACACGAGGTTTAATTTTCTACAAACCTCCCCTTCAACGTTTTATTAAAAAAAATGTCTAATTCAGAAGTATATCTAAATCTGAACTCAACAATTACTATTTTGCCCCATTTGTTATATATAATCTATCTTTCTGAACCATCCACAAACTACAAACATGATATTTAAGCCATTATTTCAGTACATGTCTTCTAAAAGTGAAAATAAACACCACAATCCTATGTGTTCATATCTAAGAACTAAACTGAGTTTTAACTTATTAAAGTAAGCTTCATAATGATGTGTCTAACATCAAATGCATCCAATGAAAAAAGGTAGGGGAAGACTTTAAAGGATGCTTCAGGCATCCAGGAAAGGGAAATGTGAAAATGTCTCAGATTCCCCTTTACACAGTCAATGGTGGAGAACATAAGGCACCATATTAGCATTCACCATGTCAACTGCATGCAGTGCTATAAATCTGAAATTCGTATTAAAATAAAAAAAAAAAGAACTTTAAAATGGATAAAGGATTTGCATTCATCTGACTAAATATTTACCAGTCAATTCAGGATTCTTAAATTTCAACTGTAAAACTCATTTTAAAAAGTTTTAAATGTACAAAATGATGCAAAAATAAACTATTATATTTAATTTTTTTTAAAAAAGTTTTGGCCCTCCCTGGTGGCCCAGCGGATTAAAGAACTGCACAGGGAAGCTTGGGCCACCTCTGCATGAGGTGGGAGAGATCCACATGGCAAGGCAGACCTCTCCTGGCCTCCCCTTGCTCCCCTCGGCAGTGTACTTCGTCTATCTGCCTATTCTGCTCCCCACTCTGTCTCTGATGGATCCTCTCTCCCTCCGCATCTCTGGCCTGTACCCCAGTTCTGTACGAATAAATCTTTAAAAAAATAAAAAATAAGGGGCCTCCCTGGTGGCACAGCAGGTTAAAGCACAGCACTGAGAATCTAAAGCCGCTTCCACGTGAGTTCGATTCCCACCTGCCCCGGAGGTGACCACATGGTGTGGCAGACCTCTCCTGACCCGTGAGTTCGATTCCCACCTGCCCCGGAGGTGACCACATGGTGTGGCAGACCTCTCCTGACCCGCCCTAGGCAGTATACTTCGTGGATCTGCCTTTTCTGCTCCCCACTGTCTTTGGTGAAGCCCTCACTGCCCCTGAGCCTCTGGCCTGTACCCCAGTTCTGTGTGCACAAATAAATAAATCTTTAAAAAATAATAATAAAATAAAAAATAAATTAAAAAAAATAAGTTTTAATTTCTGGCCCTCCCTGGTGGTGCAGCAGGTTAAAGCACAGCACTAAGAAGCTAAAGCCACTTCAGCATGAGTTCGATTCCCACGCTGGAGGTGACCATGGCGCAAGCAGACCTCCCCTGACCTGCCCACTGCTCCCCTCAGCAGTGTACTTCATCAGTCAGTCGGCCTATTCTGCTCCCCACTTTGTCTCTGGGGAATCCTCTCACTGCCCCTACACCTCTCTGGCTTATACCCCAGTTCTGTGTGCATAAATAAATCTTGTTTTAAAAAAGTTTTAATTTCTGTAATAATCTCACAATGCATCAGCTCTTCCATTCATATAGTTCAGTATTGCAAGAATTAGTAACTATGGATATGGTGGCTGGACTATAATAAAATACAAATTTTTATTTAAGTGCTAGAAATTTCAACTTTCACGAGGTCCTAAACCATGAAATGGTTACCTATTTTCCATAACACCTATTTTACATATTTTAAAACATTTTAACTATAAAATTCATACTTTCATATATACTACATAACTCCAAAGGCATATAAAACATAACAATTTTTATAATAGTTCATTTTTACATCATTTTGTACTTTTTTTTTTTTCATCTCAATTGTAATCCCCGTAGGTTTCCCATCACTGAGTCACCAGTGTGCCATCACCACAGTCCCGTGCACTTCCCTCTCCCTCGCCCCCGTTTTTGATCCCATTCCCCACTCCACCCCCACAAAATGTCTCTGGTATATGACTGTTCATTGTTCTTATTACTTTCTAGCTTGGTCCATTATACTCCTGCTTTGAATGAAACCATCCGGTATTTTTCTTTCTCTTTCTGGCTTATCTCACTAACCATGGTCTTTTCCAGCTCCATCCAAGTTGCTGCAAAAGACATGTGTTTTTTCTTTTTTTGGTTGCGGAGTAATATTCCACTGTATATACGTACCACAACTTTTTAATTCAGTCATCCACTTTTGGGCATGTGGGCTGCTTCCACATCTTCCCAATTGGAAAAAAAGCAGCAATAAACATGGGGGTGCAGGTATCTTTTCGTGTTTTTATGTCTTTTGGGTAAATACCTAGGAGTGGGATTGCTGGGTTGTAGGGAAGCTCCATGTTTAGCAGTTTGAGGAAATTCCGAACAGTTTTCCATAGTGGTTGTACTAGTTTGCATTCCCACCAGCAGTGCAGGAGAGTTCCTTTTTCTCCACATCCTCGCCAACATTTGTTGTTGCTAGTTGTTTGAAGATGTGCCATTCTCACTGGGGTGAGGTGGTATCTCATTGTGGTTTTAATTTGCATCTCCCTTGTTAGGAGAGATGTTGAACATTTTTTTCATATGCTTATTGGCCATCTGCATTTCCTCTTTGGAGAAGTGTCTCTTTAGCGCTTCTGCCCATTTTTTGATGGGTTGTTTATTTTATTTTTGTTGAGTTTCTTGAGTTCTCCGTATATTTTTGTGATCAGTCCTTTACCACCGCTTTTGTGTGAGAAAATGTTTTCCCAATTAGTGGGCTGTCTGTTTTTTGTAATGTCTCTTTTGCTGTACAGAAGCTCTTTAACTTGATGTAGTAACATCTATTTATCCTTGCCTTCACTATTGTGGCACTGGGTGCTCTATCTTTAAAGATGTTGCTGAAGTGTATGTCATGTAGTGTTTGGCTCATCTTTGTTTCCAGGAATTTTATGGTTTCAGTTCTTATGTCTAGGTCTTTAATCCACTTCAAGTTGATTTTTGTGAATGGAGTGAGGTAATGATCTGGTTTCATTTTTTTGCATGTAGCTTCCCAGTTTTCCCAGCACCATTTGCTCAACAAATTTTCTTTGTTCCATTGTATCTTCTTTGCTTCTTTGTCAAGAATTAGCTGTCCATAAACTTGTGGGTTTATATCTGGGTTTTCTATTCGAATCCACTGGGTCTGTATGTCTATTCTTGTTCCAGTACCATGCAGTTTTGATTATTATGGCTTTGTAGTACAGCTTGAAGTTTGGAATTGTAATGCCTCCATTTTGATTTTTCTTAGACATGAGGGTTTTGGCTATTCGAGGTCTTTTGTTGTTCCATATGAATCTCATCAACATTTTTTCTATTTCTTTGAAGAATGTCATTGAGATTTTTATGGGGATGGCATTAAATCTGTATATTGCTTTTGGCAGGATGTCCATTTTGATGATGTTAATTCTCCCGATCCATGAGCAGGGGATGTCTTTCCATTTCATGGTGTCTTCTTGTATTTCTTTTAACAGTGTTTTGTAATTTTCTTTGTAGAGGTCTTTTACCTCTTTTGTTAGGTTGACTCCCAGGTATTTGATTCTTTTTGTTTTAATTGAAAAGGGGATGGTTTTTTTTATTTCTGCTTCTTCTGATTGGTTGTAAAACATAAAAATTTTAAGTGAGCGACCATACAGATCACACTCAATTTATAAACAATCTAGGAAGAAGAGTTAAACCTCAATGACTTATTGTGGCACAATTTTCAAGGTGTAGTTAATTTTAAAACCCACAAAAAGTGCTGGGCATTAATGTTCCAACTTACATGGCTAAGAGGGCTAAGGAAACCTACAGAGATACAGCCACTCTCTAAAAGCAAAACTTCCTTTGCGAGAAAACACAGAATACCACAAATGCTATTTGCATGAGGAGGAGGAGGGAAGATGGGCAGAAAAACCTTCACTGTATTAACCCTTCTGTATCATTGTTAACTACATAGCTATAACTGCTTTTACTAAAAGGTTCAAAAGTAGTTGAAAATGCA